TAAAACAGTTGAAATGTGAATCTGGCCACAGATACAGGAAGATACTCATCATTTCTTTATACTGCTGAAGAAATGTCTTCTCATAAATATCTGTATTCCAGTTTATTCCAATTTGTTGCTTGCCAGCTGCCTTCTACTACTAATAGTTAAATACTTCTGGCATCATGTTAATATGTAAACATGGACTATGTTTTAAGTTCACCTTTTCTTTAGAGGAAAAACAAGAAAGTAAAGTTGACATTCTGTGAAGGTATACATCTGATATGCTCAGTGAAGACTATAACCTTAAAGATGTCAGTTGTAGTAAGAGTTTAAAATAAAATGGAGGGTAATGGATCTCTGTTGAGAATGTTAATACTCTCAGTTTGTGTAAAGAATAAAAACATTAATTCTCTTCAAGGGATTACAAAGAACATGAAAATACTATTTGGAGTTCAGTAACCCACAAGCCAAAACTTCTATGTTAGTATTTTTATTTCATATAGAATGCTAAAATATGAAGAATTTCTCAACATTATTAGTATTTTTGCTTTATGTAAAGGTATCTGAAATATGTAGGTATCTGCCAAGAAAATATTTTCCAATTGGTAATCATAAGCTAAACTTTCAAGTAATCCTACTTTTATTTTGCATAACATAATTGAAATCTGTGGAGAATTTCTCCTACAAGATACCTTAAAACATTTTGCTGTAAATAAAATAATAATTGTGAATTGATGGCCATGAAATAAGTCTGTAAATTAATACTTAATCTTATGTAAAATATCAGAATATTTTAACAAATTTCTTGTATTAGCAATGCTTTAATTTTATGCAAATACCAAAACATTATTAAAAATGTTTTCTACCATAAATCTTGAAAACTTGGATGTTAACCCTTTCACTGTTATGGGTGGAGAAATTCTTCCACACTGAAGGATATGCTGCTCTATGGACATAATTTTCTTCCAAGTGTACAGGTCTAACATTGTTTTTTTCTTCTCTCTCTCTTTAAAATGTCCAGAAAGAAGGGATGAAGATAGTTAATGTCTGTGGTACTAATTTCAAAGTTGAAAAGCAATTATATCGCATACAGGCACGAATCATTACATTTATGTCTGTGTTCTTGTGATTGAGTGAGTATTGTCTAACTCAGCTGTTGAACGTTTCTTCACTAGCAGTGAAAGTGTTGTACATTAACCTTGAATCAAAACTTTGAAGTTTCATTTTTCTTAAACTATGAAAAATTTCTTGTACAAGATGCCCCAAGGTACAAGTCACAGTACCTACAGTTTGGGTATTGTGCTAGGAGGGACGGTGTTGATAGATTGGCCTGCCTGCCCTTCTAGAAGGGGGAGGGGGAAAGGCAATATGTGTTGTTTCTGCTTGGATTCCAGGAACCTTCTCATGCTGATACATCGGATGATTGAGTTTGTGATTCGAGAAGGTCCGATGTTTGAGGCAATGATCATGAATAGGGAGATGAACAATCCTATGTTCCGGTAAGGAATGTTCCAATTTCTGATATTCAGAATTTGATTGCAATGTATGTAACATTATTGGTACAAAGTATTTTTCTTTTCCTCTGTTCACAGATTTCTGTTTGAAAACCAAAGTCCTGCACATGTTTACTACAGGTGGAAACTGTTTTCACTGTTGCAAGGCGACCTTCAGTTACGCTGGCACACTCAGGAGTTCCGTATGTTTAAAGGTATGAAGGTCATGGTATTCAACAACATTTTATGTATTTTAATTTTTCTGTCATTCCAAATTATTCAAAGTATATTTTAAAAGAGGGAGGCCAAGGTCCTAAGAGGACTATTCAGCCATGGAGGAAGGAAGGAAGGATATTTTAAAAGCAGTTCATTTTTATAGTTTGCACTGTCAGTTTTTCTTGCTTCTGGATTGCAGCGGGATCAATATGGAAGCCGCCGCCTATGAACCCATATACACAGGGTATGCCAGATGAATTGGTCGAGGGTGAGGAAAAGGAACCTCGCAAGGGGAGTCTGTCAAACACGTAAGTTGATCTTGTGGACTTCACTGTTGTTACATTAACACATCCATTCATCGTCCTGATGACGGAGGCAGTATGACCTCTGAAACGTTGGTTAACATCGACCAGACTACACAGCGCAACAACCCAGAAGACAGAAATCTTCATACTCATCGCCCTGATGACGGAGGCAGTATGACCTCTGAAACGTTGGTTACCATCGACCAGAATACACGGCGCAACAACCCAGAAGACAGAAATCTTCATATTCATTGCCCTGATGATGGAGGCAGTATGACCTCTGAAACGTTGGTTAACATCGACCAGACTACACAGCGCAACAACCCAGAAGACGGAAATCTTCACATCATTAGTTAACTCTTTTGTTATAAAATTATCTCTTTAAAAGTGCACCCCTTTTATGTGTGGGAAAGTATTTATTGAGTGTGTGTATTTAATAATGTTTTATGACTGGAGTATTTCAGTTTCAGCATTTTTAAGAATATAAATTAAACATTTGTGCTTCTTTTAAATTAAGAAAGAACTTTGGTCTTACTACTGATAATTTAGAAAATTGTCCTGTCCTGTCAGTGACTGATTTGTGGGATATTTTATAGAAACTTTGAAGAATGTGTTGCGTTAAATGAGTTGTGAAGTGGTGGGTGATAGGTATTTCTGTCTGAAGTAATTATTTACCTGTAGAGAATGAGGAAACAAAAATCTCAGGATCGGATAGCTGGCAAGCTAGCAGAGATTTGAACAAGATGCCTCCTGAATGTTCCTGCTGCACAGCCTCTGTTGTTATCATGGTCTGTACTGTTTACCTGTGAAATATGTCTGATACATGTTACACTGTTCTCTGTGCAGGCAGAGGGACAGATTGGAAGACTTGCTCCGAAACATGACTCCAGAGCGCTTGAAAGTGGCCGAGGCTATGGTGTTCTGCATAGAGCACAGCGAAGCTGCTGATGAGATTTGTGACTGCATTGCAGAATCCTTATCTATCCTACAGACACCCATCCCAAAAAAGGTAATTTCTCCTTTTTATTTTTCCTTCTTTGCACGTGAAATTTGTCATTTAACACTGACAAACGTTTTTTGAACAAGGTGCTAAGGATAATATTTTGATTTGCAGTGACAGAAAGTAACAGGAGGATGGAGAAAAGTACATAGTGAAGAACTTTGTGATTTGTGCCTTCATTATGTATTGTCAGGTTGATAAGTAGAAAAGGGTTGGTTTGACAGGTCATGTAGCACACATGAAAAGTATAAGGTGTGAAGCTCCTCATTATGTAGTTTTTCTTATTTTCTTGTTACTTCATGCTAGTTTGAAATGTTCTTTTTTAATATATCAATAAATGCACATGATCTGTCTTTTAGATTGCACGTCTGTACCTCATTTCTGATATCTTACACAACTGTGGGGTGAAGATAACCAATGCTTCCTTTTATAGGAAGGGGTAAGTGAATGTAAAACAACATATTATATTTTACCATTTTCATCGCTAAACCTGAGTACATTCGTTTCTTTTGTAGGGTGCGTTAAGGAGGTTTAAAATTGTATTGATTTATAAGTGTCCATAGCTGAGAGCTAATCAGAAATGTCATGTTAGATATCTTGAGGAGGATGAGATAAACGGTAATATATGAAATAGAAAATGTTATAAAAGTTGCTTCACCTTCTTAACCATGATGATAACGTGGGGAACAGGTTCCTTTCACAGAGGACAGTGTTGCACAAGATATAACTTTCTCCTACACTCTTAGACATGTATAATGAGAACTAAATATTTGAAAAATATCAATTCATGCAAGTTATATTTTGTTTAGAAATATTATTTACATTGTAATTGCTCAGAGCTGCCAGCTGTTGCAGGTTCCAAACCTTCAGCATTTGCAAGAGTCACTTAATGTTCTAGGTTGGAATCTCGGTTGCTTCACATCTTCCAAGATGTACATGCTGCCTACATGAGCCTGGAAAGTCGACTGAAAGCAGAAGGATTTAAGCTTCGAGTCATGCAGATGTTTCGTGCTTGGGAGGAGTGGGCTGTCTATCCTAAGGACTTCCTCATTAAATTGCAAAACACCTTCCTGGGACTAACTAGCATGGTGAATATGCATAAGTAATAAGTAATTTGATATGAGTGTGTCTGCATCAGTAATATTTGCTTAATTACTTTCTGCAATCAGTCTGATGGAAAAAGTCACCAAGAAAGTGAAGGAGAAGAAGAGACTGAGGTACGGGTGGAATCAGAACTGGACGGCATGCCCATGTCGGGTGGCGAGGGTGAAGGAGAGGATCTGGACGGTGTGCCGTTAGATGGGGCGGCTCTACTGAAAGGAGCAATGAAACACAGTAGACCGTTGCCACCTCCAGATGATGACCTGGATGGTGTACCAAGTAAGTTGGTCATGGACTCTGCAGACTTACAGAAAATATCACATGATATATTTTCTATTCTGCTTGTAAGCATGGTGCATACATGATCAAGAAAATCTCAGACATTAAATGTATTCACTTTGTATTAGTATTGGACAGATTAATGGAAAGAATTTGTATAATGTCAGAGACTATTGGAGCAAGCTAGGCATAGATTAAAGAAAGTATTAAAATGGATATTAGAGAACTAAGTTTTCAAGACGTGAACTTGTTGGAACTTATTCAGGACAGAATCTGGTGAAATACTCTTGCGATGACTACAATAATTTGTAATAATGGGGAATTTTATTTTGCCCAGAGAAAACTAATTATGGATTAGTGCATAGTGGGTAATTTAGCGGTTTTCTAATATGATTTATACCTCTTGATGTTTGAAGTATGTGCGCTTGTAACATGCAGCCTATCAGATTCGTACTCTGTTGTTGAGAGGCATCTGATTAGCTGTTGTTAGGAGTAAGTATGATCTCAAACACATTGTCTGTACTTCAGATAATCAGTGTGTTTAGGTAAATGGACATTGACTTACCTGAATGTGCAGGAGCAAGCCCCATTGGCTCGTGAGTTACATATTCCATGATGTTTTTGTTTAGTCTGTTGTGGAATTATTGTGTGTTGGATTTTTAACTGCGTAGTTCATATAGTGTTAAATGATAGATTGATAACATGAGAAAGGATGCAGATGAAATTGGTTGTGGCATATTCTTAGGCCTTCAGGGACATGAAAATCTTAGAAATCTCAAAGTAATAGGGTTGAGACTATTTTAACCCAGGATCTTCCAAATGTGAAGCTAGAGAGCTGACCATTATGCCATGTCATTCAATAAGTTAGGTAGTTGTACAGTTGCAAATCAGCAAAGAAATTAAGGCGTACAACATGGTTTGGTCAGCTTTTAACTGGTGTTATTAAAAATTAAATCCGTGGCGTAACAGCTCCAGAGAGCCAAAGCCGACTAGCTTGACTGCTGGCCTCACGTTCACATGCTCCCCAATTTCCTCACGATGCTGGGTTGGCACCGGTCCCATACACTGGTCGAAAATCTCATGAGAAAATTTCTTCTCCCCCGAGACTTGAACCAGCGCGCATTCTGTATCGCCGGTCCGAAGCATGATGCCTCAGACCGCTCGGCTACGGCGCGGGACTTAACTGGTGTTATACCCAGGTAAAATAAACATTTTTATCTCTGCAGTGGATGATGATATAGATGGTGAACCATTACCAGAGGATGTAGCAGGAGATAATGCCAACTCAGGCAGTAATAAGGGTAAATCAGGGAGCATGCCTGCTGGGTTTGTTCCATCTCGGTGGGAAACTGTGGACCCTGAGCAGGTGGAAGCTCAAGCCATGACAACCAGTAAGTGGGATCTCCTGGAGCATTCAGAACAGCCTGAACAGGCAGACAGAGGGGAGGATCCTGACAGTGCAGGAGGAGAGGACTCGCAAGAAGGGGACTACCAGAGCTATGAAGCCAGGTGAGTATGATTGTTTATTGAATCCTGCTTAGGTGATTTATGTTATTTTTTGACCAAGGAAAGGCCAAAATATGAACATAGCAATACGTGAATTCTGTGCATCATTGAATTTTATGTGGTAATCAATAAACTTTTCACTCCTGAATTTTTTAAGTTTTACTAAGAGATCAGAGGTTATGACACCAATATGTGTTGTGTAATTGAAATTTATATGACTGTTTGTGAAATATGTTCCTAAGATGTCGATTAATGTTGCATTACTGCTTGCATGTTGTTTCTTCCTGCTACAAACTCATTATGTTAACAGGGATTTGAATGAGGACCGCAGAGCACGACTGCGGGAAATTGAGCTGAAGGCTGTCCAGTATCAGGATGAATTGGAGTGTGGACAGAGGACACTAAAGAGTGGCTGGAGCATTCAGCAACAAGTGGAGCACTATCGACGCAAACTTTTGCGCAAGGTGTGACACAGAAATTTAACTTAGTCCTTATTTTCATCTGTGGTTGAGTATGAGTGTTTATTTATGTTATACCACTTTTACTGCTTGAACTGGAGTAGTTCAGTTAATATGTCTGACTATCAACTTGGCGACCAGGGTTTGATCCCCAGCAGGGGCAAAAGATTTTTCTTGTAGCCCTTGTATCCAGACCGGCTCTGGGGCCCACCCAGCTTCCAGTGGGTCCCATGGGTACCCATTAGATGTGACTGGTGTGGCTGGGGGATGATGCTGACCACTCACCCCCATCTTATACCAAGGTGAAGAAAGATAGGAGCTGTAACACCTCTCCCCCCAAATATTCCCATGTCATGTAGTGGGACAGCTTTACTTATTATTACTGGAACAGGTAGCCTGGGAACTCATAAAACATAAGCATAACTTGTAAAAGAGAAGCTTGCTCTCTGCAGAGCTAAATCGCTGTTGAAAGAACTTGAAGAAACCAGAAACATTAAAGCTAGGAAGTTTACAGGAGAAGTTATTACCTTTATGCAATATGCTTAAGATAATTGGAAATGTGAGAAGGTAATTTCCAAGAAGTTGAGTTTTTCAGCTTGATACATCATATTGATGGTGAGGAATGAGACATTTCCAATTAATGTTGATCAGTTCTTTGATGCGGTACAAAATTCACCTTGATTTTTTTCTTTTGTGTTGTATTTTGGTTCTCATATCTCATATACTAAACAGTGTCACACTTTATTTACTTTGTAAAGGCTGAGAAAGGGGAGAGAGAAAAGGAGAATGAAC